GATTATGCCTGCAAAGTGTGTCTCCAGCGTCTCTCCAAGATTTCACTATAGGAGGGTAGCTTTCTGCTTCCTACCTCTAGCCGCCATCTTGGAATCTCCTCTGTTTTTCTTTCAAAGGTGCATGAGCATGGAATGTTTAGAAGATAAATACCTTTTCTAGTACTTTGCTTTGAGAAGTTCAGAGGTTTCAGGCTGGGGACATAGCTTAAGTGGTAGAGCACCTGCCTAACAAGCGTGAGATCCTGAGTTCAAACCCCAGTGCCATCAAAAAAAAAATTAAGAAATTTTACACATATTTCATGTAATATTCAGTTGGCAACAGTTGCTACAATTGCATTATCATCTTCTGAGTTAATGATCTGAGGTACATAGTAAAAGGTGCTAGAAAACTTGTAGTGTTTAAAAGAACCATAAGATATTTTTATTTCATAGACCAAGGAATTCTCTGTAAGTAAATCAACTCATAATTTGAATATTCTTTCTGTGTGCATGTTTGAAAATTTCATTAAATTCATACATACTATTTTCTATACTTCTGAACAATCTTATTTTATGTATGTACATTTGGATTGTTTAAGGGAGTTAGTGTTTTCTCTTTTCCCAGATGAGTGACCTCTGTGGTCACTCAGTATTTATATCTAAAATACTAATTGTGGGGTTAGCAGTTGGGACTCATCACTAGTGACATGTTCCTTCTCTTTGCAGAGATTGACTGTGGCCACCCTCCTGAAGTGCAGAATGCCATTTTTGTGGGGAATCACAGCTCCAGCCTGGGTAGTGTGGCTCATTATGTCTGTCGAGAGGGCTTTGAAAGTCCTGGAGGAAAGATCACTTCTGTTTGCACAGAGAAAGGGACCTGGAGAAGAAGTACGTTAGCATGCACAGGTACAGATTCCATTCTGCTGGGCTCCTGTTACCTGGGAACAGAACAGCCGTGGGAGTATGAAGTATAAAACCATTTGCTGTCTGCCTCATGCTGAGTACTGTGCCTGGCTCTGCATTTACCTGGGTGGACACTTGGCTTTAGATTTGTTAGCTAAATCCTGAAGATTTAGAAGGTAGATTAGGAAAATGAGTTGGGTAAAAAGTTTTACACATCCATCTTTTGCAGCATCTTAAATCACAGTGATTCTTGTCTTCTATGCTTGGCTAGCTGAGGAATTTTTCTCCAGGAACCATTTTCTCAGAGGCGTATGCTCCTAACCTAGCACATGTTAGACTGGCAGCTTTTCAGGGAAAAGATGATATAATGTAAAATTAATACAGCACACAAAGCATAAAAATTTACCATCTTAAATGTGCTCAAGTGTGAAATTCATAATGTTATATATATTACACTATTGCACAATCTCCAAAACATTTTATTTTTTAAAACTGAAACTCTACACCCATTAAATAACTCCCATTTTCCCCTCCCCCAGCACCTGACCCTAACAGTCTACTTTCTGTCTCTTAGGAATTTGGGTACTTCAGGTGTTTCATCTCAATAGAATCATGTGGTGTTTGTCCTATTGAGACTGACTTATTTCACTTAGCATTATCTTCAAGCACATCCACGATGTAGCATGTGTCAGAGTTTCCTTCCTTTTTAAGGTTGAAAAATACCCATTGTATGTACGTACCCCATTTTATTTACTTATCCATGGACACTTGGGTGGCTTCTGCTTTTTGGCTGTGTGGACAATGCTGCTGTGGAACCAGGGTGTACAAATTTCTCTTTGAGACTCTGCTCTTAGTTCCTTTGGGTTTATACCCAGAAGTGGAGTTGCTGGTGAAAAGGAGCTTTTAGATTCCCATGCTAACTCTAGTGGTGCCATGTGTTAGCTATGTGTCACCAGGCAAGGCATTATGACCATCAGTTTCCTCATCTGTAAAAGGGGAAGATAAAGTCTGCCTTTCCTTTTTCAGAGTTTTTTAGAGAGGAAATCAGACGTGATTATCTAGGGGGAGAATTTTGAGAAGAGTCACAGACCATGCACGTGTTTCTCTTTTTCCTGAACTGTCAGCCATGCATGAAGATCTTCTCAAGAATCAGAAGTGTGCACTTCTGTGAGCTACACCTCACCCCTTGCCTCCAAGAGACAAAGTGGGAAAAGGCAATGATTCTTACCATTTGTGATGAGGGAATATGACAGTGCTTGCCACATAGTCACCAGTGGCTCTGGGAATATATTTCTGCATGTCAAAATATGCAGAATATGCTTGGCTCTGAAGCCAGATCTCAAGAGTGAAATCTCAAGGCAGCTTGGGGCTGGGTCTCTGGACTGATTAGTAAGTAGAATCATGGTAGAATGGCTTGGGTTTTGCTCAAGTTTTCTATAGAAAAACTGTGTGGCAAACTGTGTGATCTTCTGGTGATTACTGGCCCATAAAGCAGAGGTTTACAACCATTTTGGGGATTTGACCTTGATGAATTCACCCATTTATTCAATAGATATTTATTAATGTGTACTGTGTGTGAGGTACTTTGTAAGGCACTGCCTTCTTGAAATTTCCAGTGCAAAAGAGGAAACAGATCTTTCCCCAAAGAAATGCACACACACATGGACATGTAATGTTTTGCAGAGAAATTCAGGCCTTTCGTGAGCCTCTGAAATCTTTGGCTAAATCATCCTCAGAATGGATGGAAGAGTCAGTTTTGCTGCTCGAGCCCTTTCTGTGCCATGCAGTTCCTACATTGAGTTATCTCCCTCATAAATGCAAAAAGATGTAATCCAGCTACTACAATCATGGAAACAAAAAAGATGAGAATTCAGAGGCTGACTTCAGCCTTCTTTTACAGAAGGCTCATTGACTTGCATAGAGAAAGAAGCAAGAGCACACCTGTCATGAGCACCAAGGACTCCAGGGTCCCAGTCTTACTAACTGGGGAAATGGAGAAGACCTAGAACCAGACTGATGGTTATGAAAAACTATTACTGCATCTCAAGTAGTACTTGCAAAGTTATTTGGAGGAAGCAAAGCCACTGCCCTCTGGAAGTGCTCCCTGTGGAGTCACTTGGTAAGAGAGCTGGGTATAGCCTTGAACCCTCAGTCATCTGCTCCATTGCTCAAGCTACTGTGCCTCCACCATTCGGGATTCAGTGGGGGCACAAGGATTAGTCACGACATGAAAAACCAGTGGATCTGCATGGGGCATACTAAGCTATTAATTAGCTGATCCTTGTAGAGCACTTTGAAGAACAAACATGTTATGTAACTGCTAATTATAATTACCGTCCTCAGCCTGCCACCTTTCACAAAGTCTGCGGCTCCAGCTGCAGCTGTTTCCATGGGCTGATGCAAGCTTTGATTTAGGGAAAGAAAAGGCATTCTTCCTGTGAGCTGGGATCTTTCTGTGAGGGGCCTCTGTCCACTCCATCAGGATTGGCAGCTAAATTCAATTTCCGCAGATAAAGGGGGTGATTTACATGCTGGTTAATTCCTGGTGCAGTGCAGATGATCTCTGGGAGGGTAGCAGGAGAGGTTCTGGAAATGTAGTGAGAGACACTGATTACCACAGTTCTTGCTCAGCTACACCCTGCTTCCTTCTTTTCTGTTTTTCACCCACATCTTCACATTCCTCCCCCCCCCCACAACTCCCGCTGTTTTTATTTACCTACCTCAGTGTTCACTTTTGGCTTTTTCTCTCCATCATCATCTACTTCCCTTCTCTGTTTTCACTGTTTACTCCTCTTTCTATACTTGAATGTTTAGTTCCAACCTGAGTGGACTAATTTATCTTCACTTTATTTGACTTTAATTACTTTAAAAGTATTTTTGGATTCCCTGATGCGTAATTTGTTTTTAATGGAGTATAAATGCTAACGAGGTGGTGAGACTTTTCCTTTAAGGCCAGTTTGGACTGGAAACTCCAGACAGCTGGGATTTAGGCAACGGCTTTAGTGTCTGGAAAAACCCCAGGTGAAAGTTTGATGTTAGTGAATTGGTTTAACCTCAAGATTAAAGAGGCCGATTCATTCTGATAAGGCTGTGCCTGGTTTCCATTCTGCACTGGTCATTTGGCTTTTTATGCTTAGAGTCTGAGTTAATAATTATAAGACTGATGATTCATGCTCTGAGGAGGGTAGCATCTCTGCTGGGATACAGGCTGTTTATCCACCAGCATCCTCTCCGTGCCCCTAACCTGCCCTGGGCACTGCCGCATATGTCTGCAGACTCCTGTTAGCCGTGCTGCTTGCTTGTTGACCTTCCTCTCCAGCCCAGTGAGTGCTCACTTGCAGCTCCACACATTTCAGATGGAAAAGAAAGGTCAGTTGCAATCAATTAGTTGTGTTTGAATATGACACAGCGTTATTGCTGACGTTGACTGAGCACCAACTTACACGCCCAGGACTCTCCTAGGGGCCTTAATGATTGATTTTGCTTCATACTTAGATAAATCCTGTGAAGTTATTAGTTTCATTTTGTAGATGAGTAGTCTGAGTTCATAAAGATTAAGAAACTTTCTCAGCGTCATTCAGTAACAAGCAAGTGTGGCAGAATTAGAATTTGAACTCAGACCTGTAAGCCCTGAAAACCCATGCTCTCTCTTAAGTCAGGGCCTCTCAAGCTTGAATTATTTGTATACTGCCCTGACAATGTTTGCCATAACAAAAATATTATTTGCTAAATATGTTTCTTAAAAGACTTGCACACACACACACACACACACACACACACATCCTGTATCCGCCTCCCAAGTATCTGAAACTACAGGCATGAACCACCATTCTTGGCAGAACAACTTAACATTTAAATTTATAATTTAAATGTTCTGAGCGAGAACACTTTGTAATATATGCGATATCATGACTTTGATGAACTAGGTGTATTTTTTCTATTATGCACAAAAATTAACACACAGTGAACATGTAAGATAAGAATTTATCCATGTGCCACCAAAAATAACCCTAAAAGTGTGTAATACATTTTGGGAGAGCACTGCTCTAAGTCATGCTACTTTTAAATGATTTATGTGACTTTAAGACTCAAAGAAAGGAAGCATTATAACATTTATAGCCAAGCATACCTTTATTCGAGGTGTCACCGGGGAAGTTGTACTCCAGCATCAGTGCTGTTGCAGTTATCAACATGTGTTTGTTTTGGAATCCTTTTTTGGGAATGACCTGAGGAAGTAGGCTATGAGTTATATTAGAAGAATGTACTACTTTTGAAATCAGGTAGTGTTTTGACTAGGGATGACACTGATCTTGGCCACCTAAATTGGGTCATCTAATTTTATTATGAAGACCTTTTACAATTTTTTCAAAACTAAAGAAAAAGGATAAAAAAATTTTAAACCAAAAGAGTACACTAGACTGATCTCTGCTCTTGCACAATGGGACTTCTGAAAGAGTAATCTATGCTCACTGTCTCGGTTCCCTTGTCCTTTCTCCTCAGCCTCCTGAAGGAAAAATCAGACATCCAAAACCCCCTAACCACTGCCTCCAAATTCATGCTCTTGCTTCAGTCCCATTCCTCTTAACCTTTCCTCAACTTTAGCATTGTTGATCATCCTTTCATCTATCCATCCAACCAATCAACCAGATAATAAATGTTTTCTGAGTATCTAAGTCTAAGGCATGTGCTAGGGTCTGGAAAGAGAGAGAGAAGCATGGTCTTTGCCATGGTAAAGTTCCATTCAGAAGAGGTAAACATGAAATAACTAATCACATGATTACTTAGGCACAAATGTGATAAATACCACACACAGAGAAATATTAGATGCTAAATGAATACCAAAATATATAATATAGATAGATAGATAAGTAGATAGATAGACACACATTTGTGTGTTTACACCCTCCATTCCCACACATAAACTCATGGAATAAAGCACAGTAAAGGTTAATACCACTGAGGCATTCTTTCTCCCAATCTTATGAGGATTCAGTTGGACACAG